TCGAGCAGTCTGCACAGACCACTGTCATTCACTCTGACGCTAAAAGAGTCTAATTTATATTTTACCGTAGTTATTGACACTATTCAAGAGTATCATGTTTATTGTGAATAGCGTGAATGGGTAAGCTTTGTTTCGACAATGGGCTGTTATTTCTGTGAACAATGTTAAATTATTCTTTGAATGCTCAGTTTATTTTTTGAAAACAACTAATTTTTCGATTTAAAAAAAATCATGCCGTTTTCCCCGTCAAAATCAAAGCATAAAGATCTTGCTAAACATCGGTGAATCCCCTGTTGCGTTCACCACGAGGTCACTGAACCGTCATTAACATATTTAAATGAGCCACATGTACTGAAATAACATGGCGGATATCGCATCGCAAATTTATAAGTACATGTTATTATGTATTTAATTATGAAAACTGACTAAATTAAATGTGATCTTATTTTGAAATGGAAAACTGAATACATGTACAAAAATCCAGTAACATCGCAAACGAATTTCCGTCTGCTGTGAATGCATGTTTCGTTACATCAAATAAATAACCCAATTTTATTGAATGTATCCAAAAACATGGTACCAATGATCTGAAATTTCAGGAGTGCTCGCTGAAGGTTTATCAATCTTGCTTATTGTCTTGTTCTTTTCCAATTTTGCATTTCAGTTACTAGAATTTATACTAAAAAAAAATAGTTTCTGTTTTTCTTCTAATAATTCGGCCACTCTCAAAAACAAATATTTTTCCATGGTCGAAATGCAAGAAGAATACAAAACTACTGTGATTGCATAGCGATACCTGTAGGGCCATTGTCAATTAGTTCGCTGATCAACACAGCGTTATACATAGGGCTGATATTGAATCACGGAGAGTAAAATCTTGTAATACTAATCTCTAGAACCGCTCAGATTGGTACATACCGGTATGTCTTATGAACCCACATGTGTATATCTTTAACAATACTCATTTTAAACTTTTTTTTTTTACAGTGGTGCTGTGAACTGCTTCAATTTTGCAAGGCAATTTTTTCTGGGTTCCTACAACATGGAGTGTCAGGGACTTTATTGAAATTTCATAGAATCCTGAATATATCTAGAAGTGAAAATTAAATGGTTTACAGTATTTTATACCCATTAATAATGATGAAATGCAATAATATCACTGCACTAAAAAGACTTCAAACAATTATTGTTACTTCTCCATTGAAGGTTATGAGCAGACCAACCTTTACTGGCTTCCTTAATTATTACATGTACTTGCTCTGAAAACATAGCTTTTACAATTGTTTAAATTAACAGATGTTGTTCTATGTACAATGAATACATTTTAAATAATAAACCTTACTGTATTAATAAAAAATTGTATTTGACAACATGAGAATGATTCTGATGCCCAGTGGTGATGTTGAAACAAACCCAGGTCCTGGTAATATACTAAGACCTGATTAACAAAGAAGTCATGTACATCAAGGTTCACTCAGATTTATGAATGCAGTTTCTTGAGCAAGTATACATGTATGACAAATAGTTTTGTTGCACTTGTGTACACTGAGATTCTGAACATGGGTCAGTGGAAGTTTTTAGTTGTCAGTACAAAACTAGATTATGGGAAATCACTTTATGGTGAGTTGTACCCACATACATGTAGAGTACATATTCATTCACCTGTTTGCAGATGTTCCTTGTACTACTTTATAATCAAATAACGGGGACTGTGACATTTCATGTCTTGTTTTTACCCTCGTGTCGTTTTCCCCTTTGTGTATAGTATTTTTCACAGCAAAAAAATAAAATCCGGCGCCACTACGTAACCAGTTGGTTTTCATGGCGGCACCTTTTACAACTGTAATTCGTTTCCCTCATGCATGTCGTCTTTTATTTTCAATGTATTTAGCGATATATAGATGTAATGACAGCACCAGGGCTCGCTGCCGTTTTCTTTCCGGTCTCCTCGTGTTTCGAGTCGACCGTGCAGTGGGTTATATTCAGAATTTACCAGCATAGAACCCGCATCCGAGATACTTTGTCGTAGCTACGTGCGGGTTTCGGGGTTTTTGCGTAAAAGCGTGTTTTTTCACTGGCGTTCTGAGGCCTGAGATTTTCTTTCAGAGCCATCAAAATCGCTGAGACTGACCGTGTCACAGCAAGGTCGCGCGTCCAGTAAACAGATCGGTTAAAGTGAGTTGCGTGTTTGGCATGAGTGGAAATTCCTCACGCTCGGCTACCGGTACTTCATGTACCTTTGTGGACCCTTCCTCGCACGGCGCCGGGTT